TACACCTTCCTCACCACTAGACAAGTAGGCTACCCATGGGACGTCTCGTCCAATGCTGTCCTCGCCTTTGATTCTGGTTCAGTGACGAATCGGCGTATGTACCATTTCTATCTAGACTTGAAGTATCTTTTCGGCTCGCCAAACGTCCAGGAAAAGCTACGCACCGAGGAGAGATACCTCTTGCAGTTCTTGGATCTCGTCAAGCTACACCAAGGCATTGGGCCAAATGTCCGCGCCATTGGGGAGCACGTCGAATACGAGACGGATAGCTGGATAACGGCTTCGCTGGTGACACGCGAAATCAACAGACTCGCTCGACAACTTGCCGACGCGTACAGGAATGTGCCGGATAACGAGGCACACTTCGTCGCCCAAGCCATCAGATTGACAGCAAAGGCTGTGATTCTTCACTCTATTGGTGCCGAACGCCATCGATTTAAGCAGGCTGAGATCAAGGAAGAGGTCAAGTTCAAGACTCTGGGTGATTTCGAGTTTGACAATGAGTCGGCACGGTACGAAGTGGTCAAGTTCACCGTCGAAGAGGACCCCATCAGCTTCCACCACGCCCTCCACTATACGCTCTCGTGGTTGGTGGAGTGCGGGAAGTCTCTCCCTGCCTCAAGCATGCGAGCCCTGCTGAGCTTCACAACGCAAGACTTGAGGGTTCCTCCCCGCTCCATGGGCCGCAAGGTTATGCCAAGAAGGGACAACTCACCGGAAGATAGCCTCATGGCTGCATTCGACTACCCCTTGCGGGTTTGCGCTTGGCTGGCGCAGATCAAAGCGAACATGTGGGTTCGCAATGGCATTAGTCTGCGTCACCAGGCGGCGACATATCGTGGAGTCAGCCAAAGAGATGTCTCTCACCACCGAGACATCTTCTTGCTCCAGACTGCCATGGTCACGGCTGATCCAAGCCGCGTCCTCGCATCCATCATTGATCGATTCGGCATGGAGAAATGGGTCAAGGGCTTTTTCGAGCAAAAGTCGGCAGCGCAAGACGATGCGCAACACTTGGACGTGGTTGAAGACATGATTCACCTCCTGATTGTGTTGCTGAGCGATCGCACGTCATTGATTGCCTCCGAGGACGAGCCTAACGCCAATGTCCTCGCCATCCGCCGCGACCTCACTCATATCCTATGCTTCAAGCCCCTCTCGTTCAATGAAATCAGCAACAAGCTGCCAGAGAAGTGGCAGGAGCAAGAGGATTTCCACCGTGTGCTTGATGAAATGGCATCGTTCAAGCCTCCAGAGGGTGTCTCTGACGTAGGCACTTTTGAGCTACGACCCGAATTCGTTGAGCATATTGATCCTTACATTGCCCACTACAACAAGAATCAGCGTGAGGAGTCCGAGCTAGCTTATCGCAAGAAGATGGCCATCAAGACTGGGAAGCCGGTCGAAGAGATTGTGTACGAGCCCAAACTTCGATCTATTCCCTCAGGACTGTTCAAGGATCTGGCTGCATTCACCAGTACCGGCATGTTTGCCCAGGTCATCTACTACTCCTTGCTCTACCCGCTGGTCGCCGCCAGACTTACGCCAAGCGTGCCATCCACTCGCACTGAGACTTTCCTCCAGGTTGTTCTCCACCTGATTCTCATTGCGATTTCCGAGGACAAGGCGGACGAGAGCGACATGACGGAGGAGTCGCTCAACTCATTTGTCTTTATCTCCTTGACACGCACAGCCCGAAGCAACTTCATGCAAGAAGCGCCTAATGCAAAGACCATCGTCGCGTTGCTGGACATGATGTCTACTAAGGAAGAGTTCAAAGCGTGCCACCCCAAGATCGCTCTCATCCTGAAGAGGATGCGACAGAAGCGCCCACGCAACTTTGAGAATGCATATGTTCGATTGGGTGTATCGGTTGACCGCATTGATACTGCGTCCCCTGCCAACAACTCTGCAGAGGAAGAACGCGAGCGCAAGAAGAAGGCCGCACTTAGTCGACAGGCAAAGGTCATGGCTCAGTTCCAACAGCAACAGAAGAGCTTCTTGGAGAACCAGGGCAACATTGACTGGGGCTCGGATCTCGAGGATGAGGAAGAGGCCGAGCAGAACACTGATCGGAAGAACAATTGGAAGTATCCCACTGGCACCTGCATTCTGTGCCAAGAAGACACGGACGATCGTCGTCTTTACGGAACGTTTGCTCTGTTCAACGAGAGTCACATTTTACGACAGACGGATTTACAAGATCCAGACTTCGTTAGGGAAGCCTTCCACACACCTTCCAGCCTGGATCGCTCCGCGGAAGACATCCGCCCATTCGGGGTTGCTCATGAGAATCGACAAGAAGTCACAAAGGTCAACGCTCAAGGCGAGAAGTTTGTTGCCGAACGCCAGACAATTGGCAAGGGCTTCCCGTCCAACCTCTCGCGCCCCGGACCGGTCTCAACTGGTTGCGGCCATATGATGCACTACAGCTGCTTTGAAATGTACTTTGATGCGACAAACCGGCGACACCATCACCAAATTGCCCGACACCATCCTGAGAACCTTCGAAGACAGGAATTTGTCTGCCCGTTATGCAAGGCTTTGGGAAACGCATTCTTGCCCATCATTTGGAAGGGACAAGAAGAATGTTTTCCCGGGCCCCTTCAATCCCAGCGCATTTTTGCAGACTTCCTAGACGCTCAAATGCGATCCGGTTACTACCGCCTTGGTGCGAATCGCCCGCCCGACCAAGTTCAGGCAGGGTTCGCCAGCTATACCGCAGGACAAGTCACGGGTTCGCTGGCAGAGAAGGCGCCTCAGCTATTAGAAGAGGCATGGTCGGCTGATGAGTCGGGCCTGGATTCCGTGGTTGTTAGCACGCCGCTGACGTCTGTATTCCCGGCAGCCAGCACGCCGGTCTCCAATCGCCGATCTGTACAGAGTGATGGTTCCACACTTATGACCGAGCTGGCCAAAGTTTACCGCCGCCTTCGCGATACTGTACGGTCTAATAAGTTTGAGACTCGCCACGACAGGCTCAATATCGAACTGCGAGAAAAGAACGAGCTTTGCCACAGCGATGTCCTGGCTAAATTGGTCGGGTACTCCACATCGGCTGCAGAGATCCAGCAGCGTGGTACCGAAGCTCAGTACGGTATGACACTGCTGGAGAAGATTCCCGAGCAGAGTCTGACGCACCTGCGCATCTTGGCTGAGACGGCCACTGCGTACCGGGCTGTCGGTGGTCTCAAGGCTGGCGGAGACAACTGGATCGACGAAGAGTTCCGCCTGGATAGCGAACGGCAACACGTTCAACTCTTCGTTTCGCAGTACTTTGGGCAGGAGACGGAACACGTTAGGCGTCCTATCGACATCTATCCGCCGTTACTTGGCCAGGACGCCTTCATCTTCCTCACCGAGTGCGTGTTTGGCGTCATTCCAGCGCAGAACTTTGACGTCACCCATATCCTGAGACTTTGTTATCTTGCGGAGATTGTCAAGATTGTTTACCATATGGGACGCAACATCCCGGTATCTACTTGGGTAAACCATCTTCTCAACAGGGAGACGCAAGATCCGGCACTCAAGAACTTTGCTGAATTCTGTCTCGCAATCACCAAGACTGGCATGGAGATCAACGTATCCCACCATGAGATGCCGGCGGATCTTGGCGAGAACAAGGGCTTCGGACAACCGGAACTGGATAACCTCGAGGGCTACTACACGTTCGTCAAGAAGTACGCTCTGACTTTCCTTAGGAAGAGCGTCATTCTTCTCTACATCAAGTACGGCGTAGACTTCAACAGCCACGTTTCTCCTCAGCCAGACGCGGACGAGTTAGACCGCCTCACTGAAGTACTTCGTGTACCAACCTTTGACGAGATGTGTGCCGCCATCACCGACCACGGTCCCGATTGCGGTTGGCCTGCTTCGACGACGAGTCTGGTCAAGGGATGGATCAGACATCAAATTATGTGGCCAGGCGACGCCGATCGTAAGCTCCCCAAGTCCGCGCTCATCAGTCACCCGGGCATTTTTGAGCTGGTGGGTTTACCAAAGAACTACGACGCTCTCATCGAGGAAGCCACTCGTCGCAAGTGTCCGACGACAGGAAAAGACGTCTCGGATCCCATGATTTGCCTCCTCTGCGGAGAGGTCTTTTGCGGTCAAGCAGTCTGCTGCCTTAGGGAGGAGACGGCGTCTGGTGACCGTGAGCCGCAGAGAATCGGCGGATCGCAGCAACACATGCGAAAGTAAGTCTTGAAGATAAGTCGATTGAAATCATTCCCATGCTAACCTCCTCGTGCTCTAGGTGTCAGGGCAACATTGGCCTCTTCCTCAACATCCGCAAGTGCTGCATCTTTTACTTATTCAGGTTGTCAGGGTCCTTTAGCAGCGCGCCCTACATTGATAAGTACGGTGAGACGGACCTGGGTCTACGCCACGGCCGCCAGCTTTTCTTGAATCAGAAACGCTACGACTCCATGCTGCGTACCACTTTCCTCAGTCACGGAATTCCGAGCTATATTAGTCGTAAGCTCGAGGCGGAGATTAACAATGGTGGATGGGAGACGATTTGAGGTTTCGGCGGGTGGATTGAAGCGATGAAAACTCTTGAGGAAATGAGTCTCAAGCACAAAAAGAAACAGGGAAAGGGGGAAGAGAGATTGGCGAGGGCAGGAACACATATTCTTTCGAATCGCGGGTGGAAAGCGAAGGATAGACATGACATGCATCTTCGACCCTTTTGTTATTTTCCCATCGCTCAAAACACATAGCAACTTTGGAGAGGGATGGTGGGGAGGCAACGTCGGAGTTTCGACAGGAAGGTAACTTGTGTTTGAATTTCAAAATAGGCAGGAAATGACATTCTGCACACAAGAATTTCGCTGGCGTTGTATGCTCGGCACCAGTCTGCCTATTGAGGATTCGAAGAGGACCGTTGTCCATGTGTCTTGGTATCATATTCAGGCCATCGTCTATACTCTAGATGGCTCTGTTTTCTCCTCCCTCCATGTGCATTTATGTATCTAGCCTCCTTTGCGCGAGATACTGCATCACACACCAGCCATATCGATGTCTTCTTCCTGCTTTATCGGCGGTTCCGTGCCATTGACATTGGCGACTTCCTCTCCCCTAGTCTCCTCACCAATCGCGAGACCATTCGTCAGTGTCTTCTCCGCCCCATCGGTTTCAGTACCAGCAACAGCGGCGGCAGCAGCAGCCACGGCATCAACCTCCCCTTCGCCCAACAACCTCTTGAAGATGCGTATCCGTCCGTCCTGCCCCGCCGACACCATGACATCCCCATTGACATCGACCCAGAAACACACGTTGGCACCCTTGCCGCCTCCCCGGTGCGAAGAAGAATCCTTCTTGTGGGCGGGGATGCGCTGAACAACCTCCTTGGTGACGACGTCCCACAGCACAATCTCGCCGTCCTCGCTGGCCGAGGCGATGAAGGCGCCCTCGCCGGGGACGAGGCCGAAGCAGCCGCCGATAGCGAAGCGGTTGTTGGCGTGGCCTTGGTACGTTTTTTTTACGGAACCGGCGACGTAGTCCCAGAGGCGGATGCTGTTGTCGAGGTTGAAGGCGAGGACGAAGCGGCCGTTGGGCGCGAAGCAGACGGAGGTTACGGCGGGGTTGTCTTCGTGGACTAGGGTGCGGAGGCACTGACCGGTGTAGGTGTCCCATATGCGACTGGTGTTGAGGGTCAGTCAAGGATCCTACCCAAGTAGGAAAGGGGGGTAGCTTTGGTAATACGTACATGAGACCGTCGGTCGAACAACTCACGACCAACGTGCCGTCGCATGAAAAGTCGATGCCGCTGACCGGGTCGCTATGCGCCGGCAAACTACGCATCAAGCGACCCGCTCGCACATCCCACAAAAAGACGGCCTCGTCGTACGATCCCGAGGCGAGTATGTTTCCCTTGGGCGAGAAGGCGAGACACATCACGTAGTTGTGGTGTCCCCGCAGCGGCAGCATAGGATGCGCCGCGGGCGCCGCGTCGTCCTTGGCCATGTGGCCCACGCCCTTGGCCGTGACCTTTGGCCGGCCCGTCACCCGGTCCCAGATGCGAATCGACTTGTCGTCGGAGCCAGTCGCCAGGCTCCCGCTGTTGGGGCTCCACGCCACGCAGTTCACGCCGGCCATGTGGCCCACCAGGGTGTCCATGTGCTCCCCCGTGGCCGCGTCCCACGTCTTGACGGTCCCGTCGGCCGAAGCGCTCGCGATCCACCTGCCGTCGGGCGATATCCGCACCTGCGAGGCGGGCGCTCCCGCGTGACCGCTCAGCACCCTTTCCTCCTCGTACCGCGGCCTCACGGGGCCCTTCTTCACGGGCCCGGGTGTCATGGGCGTCGTCACTGTCGCACCAGTATCTGCGCCGCCGTTGGTCGAGGAGAGACGTAGCCTGCGATCGACGGCGCCTGAGAGACTGCCGCCCGATGTGGATGCAGGCGACCGTGATCCCGCGCGCGACTCGTCCTCCTCGTCGTCATCGTCGTCGTCGTCGTCGCTGCGTGAGCGGGAGGGCGAGGCGGTCACCGACCTCGGTGTGCGCGAGCGCGAGCGCGACCCCGAGTGCGACCGTGATCGGGATTTGGAGTGCGATGAGCGCGAGTAGTATGCCGCCTCGTTGAGCTCATCCTCGCTAGGAGACCTGCTAGGTGTCATGCTGGGACGGCCGCGGTTGGTCGACAGGCGGCGGGATGTGCTGGACCGCTGCTTCTTCGTTCTCGTTGTTGTCGCGGTGGATTTCTTCGCGGCTGTTGCTGATGCCGTGGTGGTCGTGACTGTTGTGTCGTTGAGCTCATCTGGTGAGCTTGATCGCGGTGTCGCGGATGTGCTGTGTGCGACGACTTTGCGACGTTTTGGAGGGGGTTCGGGGAGAGGCGTCGCTGCTGCTGAGGAGCCGAGGTCTGACATTTTTCGCGTTATGTTTGGGTATAAAGGTACGAGTATATGAGACGAGTTTCCAGCTCCTTTTTGTGTTGGTAAAGGAGGCTGTTCATTCGAAGGCGAGCGGCCGGTGGGAGGGAAGAACAATCAATGCCCAGGAAAGTGAATGGGCAAGGCTGAGAAAGACATACAGCAAGAATGATCAGCAACTTTTGGCGCGTTGCAAGAAGCAGGGGTTGCCCGACTGACGTTTAGCGGTTACTTTTCAGCCTCGTCCCCACCGCACAGGTCACTCTGGGGTCAAGCTCTCCCCTGATTGTGTGTGGGACCGCTAAGATAAGAATCCGCTGCCGCCATTCTCGTACCGATTGGCCAATGGCGGAGTATAAGGTATGGGGGCACCTTCCGGCCGAGCATCTGCAAAGTGGGTCGCTCTTCCGTCGACAACCCCCGGCTCGCCGGCAAACGCAAACGGGACAGCTCCCAGGAAGTCGAGAGAAGAAAAAGAAAACCGAACGCAACGTCACCAAAAGTCCAAGCGTCCGTTGTAGTGACCTTTTTCATCCCATCTCGTAAGAGCCCCGCGATCCGACCTCACCTTTGACGGTAATGCGACTTCATTTTCGCATTTCTTTTGCAGATGCCATAGCGCCAGCCAAGTCAACTACCTATCATTACAACCGCTGCAGAGTTTGAATCCTGCTCTCACCATCCACTTCGGAAGCTTCGGCGTAATCACCTACAACTGCCGACCTATCTGATAGCAGCTCGCTGTCGTCTTACACGCGTTCAACGCTTCTCTTGATCCAATACCTCTGCTCAATTTCAAGCCATTATATTCTTTGCCTTCGTTCGCATTCTCCTCAGTGGTCTTTCCTATTTATTCCTCCACATATTCTCCAATTTCCTGAACCATAATCTTCAGGCTCTTCACCTCATCATTTCAAAACATCAAACAACATAAACCAACACAAAATGGACAACCCTCTCCCAAAGGACCTCCGCCTCCTAACCCTCAACTGCTGGGGCCTAAAATACATCTCCAAGCTCCGCCCCCAACGCCTCGCAGAAATCGGCCGCCGCATCGCCGCCCTCCCGGACCCGCCCCACGTCGTCGCCCTCCAAGAGTGCTGGGTCACCTCCGACTACGACGCCATCCGCGCCGAGACCGCCGCCGTCCTGCCCCACGGCAAGTTCTACTACTCGGGCCCCTTTGGCGGCGGCCTCGCCGTCCTCTCCCGTTGGCCCATTGACGAGAGCTCCATGCATGCTTACCCTCTCAACGGCAGACCCACGGCCTTTTGGCGAGGCGACTGGTACGTCGGCAAGGGCATCGCCTGCGCCCGCATCCCCATCCGCCTCGCTGGCGCAGACGGCGGCCCCGGTAGAGACCACGTCCTGAGCATCTTCAACACCCACACCCACGCACCATACACCGAAAACCAACCGGGCGACACCTACCTCGCCCATCGCCTCGCCCAGTCCTGGGAAATGTCCAAACTCCTCCGCGCCGCCGTCCAGCGCGGCGACCTCGCCCTCGCCATGGGCGACTTCAACATGCGGCCCCTGTCCCTCCCGCACCGCATCATCACAGCCCACGCACCCGTTTACGACGTCTGGCGCGTCCTCCACCCGGACTCCTCCCTCGGCGCCGCAGACGACCCCCTGGAAAAGGCCCGCGGCAGGCCCGTTCCCTCGGCCGACTTTAACTTGCGCGAGAACGGCGCCACCTCGGACCACGTCTACAACACCTGGCGCTGGTCCAAGGAGCAGCAGAAGAAACTCGGTGAGGGTAAAGAACCCGTCGTCGTGCCGCCAGACACACCCGACAGAAAGGGGAAACGCCTGGATTACATCTTCTTCGGCTACGGAGGAGGAGGAGGAGGAGGAGGAGGAGGAGGAGGAGGAGGTGGTGGTGGTGACGGCGGCGGCAGCTGGGTCGTTCGCAGCGCTCAAGTCGGCATGGTCGAGCCGCATCCCACGCTCGGCTGCTCCCTAAGCGACCACTTCGCCGTCGAGGCAACGCTGGCATACCAGACGACCCACCACCGCCATCACCAAGGCCTCGACGCAACGGAAAACGATAACGAGACGTCCTACCTCCAGGACGCCTCAGCTAGCTCCCACCGCGACTCCTTCACGTCCGAGAATGCCCCCCTTTCCGAAGGGCCAGGCAAAGGTCTTCCGTTGCCAGTCTACGACGAGATCCTCTCCGTAACACGTCAGTACATCCACCGGGAAGAGAACCAGCGGCGCTGGCGGGGATTACACTTCGTTGCATGGTTTGCCATTCTGATTGCGTGTCTTGTGGCTGTGTGGTTCAGCCCACACAACTTTGTTGCCTTCATTCTCATGCTTTTAAGCAGTCTCGGACTGGCTGCTGGTGTTATTGACGGACTCATGTCACTCCTCTTCTTTAACTCTGAGATCAGAGCCTTGAAGGAGTGTGAATGGGAAATCACAAATGCCAAAAGGCTTGCGCGTGATACTGTTTCACAGGAGGCAGTGGAGAGGGAAAAGTCTTTCTAAGGACCCAAATGATGGTCGTCCTGCTGAGTATAATGATACCCCAAGCTCTAGGCGTAGTTGATGGTGCCTCCACGACATGTCACACGCACTAGAGGAGAGGCTGATATGTAATGAAGAATAATGTCTATTCATACTGAACGTTCCCTTTTCCTTCTCATGATGGCGCAACACATCTTGTACGTGTAATCAGCCCAAGCTCCTATCAGTAGCTATTTCAACTTTGCCTCTCCGCCCAAAGTCGCCCCGACTGACAATCCATTCCTCGCACTCATTCAAGAAATTCAAGAATTTGTAGGGTAGACTGTTCCAACAGGCCTACGACTGACCATGTCTTTTCGCCGCCATGAATAACCCAGAAAAGCCGTTTGCTTCCTCATCTGAAGAACTTCCTCCTTGACCCAACGATCCCGCAGTAACTTGTCTCTTGGGCGCTTGCATTCTTTTCGTCCGACTCTTCTGACGTACCATTTGAGAAAGGCCTTTTCGACATCTTCCAGAAAGGCATGATCATCAATGTCGCGATCGAATCTTTTCAATTTGGATGAATCGTAGGGTTTGGAGATGAACTCGGTGGTCAGACCCCTCACATCGTCTTCAAAGTCGTACTGTAGAAACCTAAGACGGAGATCATCCAGGTTCTCCGACCCTTCCACTATCTCAGAATCCATTGAGTCAGACCAGTCGCTGATCGGCTCGTCTTCTTCAAAGTAGTGAGAGTCGGCGTAGCTTTGAATGTGTGGTATCCACTCTGGTCGACTAGAGCGTATTGTTTCCCAAGGAACGCCCCGAAACCACGGATGAGCCTTGATCTCGGATGCGTCGTTATTGAAAACGTATTGACTTGGTACCCGCTTGTATCCCTGAAGCTTCTCCCAACTTCGTCGAGCATCTTGATTGCGATACTCGGGTGAAGAGAGGCGGCCGTCCTTGTCCTGAAGCAGGTCCTTGATCAACTGCCGGCACACTCTCGAAACCGGAGGTCCGTCAACAGGGAATACCAAGCTATTCCGATATTCCTGCTCACAAAATCAGAGAAATATCCAATGGGAAGAATTGTTCAAACTTACGAGGATGTTCTGTTTGGTGTAGTGACGACCCTTCTCCGAAAGAAACGGCGTGTGCCCATATAGGCACTCGTAAAGGATGATTCCAATACTCCACTAGTCGCATCTACCATCATACTTCTCTCCCATGACCACCTCTGGAGCCATATACTGGCTTGTACCAACAATCGAGCGGGCAGAGGATCGGCGTGTCTCTGCTGTTCGCCAACTAAGCAACTGATCGACTTTTACAATCTCGTCTGCGTTTGTTTCGACGACATTGAACGGGCATTCAAGCCCGTCAAACTTGGTTCGGAGCAATTCTGACGGGGGATAGTGTTTTGATGATCCTTCCCGAGATGATCGTTGCCTGGCCTGTCCACCATCGCGGGCGGCTTTTTGATCTTCGCCATCACCGTCTAGCGTAACACCCGTTAGGGCTAGAATTGACTGTCGCTGCCATTTGTAGTAAGAGGTGTCATGGGACCAATGGTCGTCAAAAGCCAACCCGAAATCCGAAATTTTCAGGTGGCCATCGGCACCGATGAGGAAGTTGTCTGGTTTGACATCTCGGTGGATGCATCCAAGTCTATGGGCCTCTTCGACGCAAAGTATCATCTCAGCGATGTAGAATCGAGTTCTCGACTCGGTCAAGATATTTTCGCGAATCAGAAGACCAAGAAAGTCACCTCCCGGCATGTAGTCCATGAGGAGATAAAGATTGACTGGATCTTGGAAACTGGATATCAGGGGCACCACCCTAGTCCTAGTTAGCATAGAGTACAGCGTTGCCCAGCACATCGAGAGGACTCTACTCACCAGTCTGAATTCTCAGAGGCCGCCAAGAAGTCTCTCTCCGCTCGCAAGTGCCCTTCTTGGCAGCTTCGAATCATGTCAGACTTCCGAATGACCTTCATAGCAAAAACCTGTCGTCGGCATCGATCCCATACAAGCTTGACAACTCCGAAGCTTCCTTTCCCGAGAATTTGAAGAGTCTCGAGGTTCTCCAAGTCTGATCCTCGACTCATCTCAGCGCTAGACGTTGTTGACTACGCAACTCTGCAGCTGTGTGTTTTTGCGTTTCTTTGCTCGCGGAGGAAATTGGTCTCCATTGCAAAGAAGAGCCTCCAGTAATAGTCTCTCTCACTCGGACCGAGGTGACCTCCGTATTGATCCAGATTTCGTTGGTGCTCGGCGATACGTTGTTCACGTGGTGTTGGACGACCACTCAAGGCGTTCTCAAAGTAGGTCTCTAGGTAGATCCTGGCTGCTGCTGCTTTCTCGACAGTGTGGACCCTTTGTTTATCAGAGAGTTGGTTCCAATCCAACTGTCCCCAGGGTGTGTAGTGGGACGCTGAGGGAAGCTCAAATTCTAACTCAGGTGGTGGATTTGGGGCGGCCGGGCCAAGAGGGTGGTTTGTGACGGGCTGGGCAATTGGGTATCGCAGAGGGCGGGATTGCATTGTCTTGTGAGCGGGTTTCCCCCGTATGTCCATAAATCTGTGAATGAAGTTCCTGGTTCTGGTGGACCTAGCACTGCCCGAGGACTGTAGGTCTGTTCTGTGTATTAGCTGGTGATGGTTTGCCCTCTGAGTCAGTCTCTACCTACGCTGATGATGGCGATATCTCCCCTTGAACAAATGGGTAAGTGGGGTCGCCTGGAGATGAGGACGGGTATTCCAAAGAGTGTGCTGTGCCTGTCCGTCGACTTCTGGGCTGAGGTCTGTTGGGAGTGTGTGGTTGGCGTCTATGGCTGTTGCCGTAAGGGTCGGATTTGAACGTGCGACGATGCTGCTGCGGAGAACTTGTTGATGCATGATGCTTAGTAGTGATGGAGGAACTTATAGAAGAGGTAATGAGACCTGCTGGTATAACGACTTGTGATCAAAGCGGAGTCCAAAAGAGAGGCGGACGAGCAGTCCGGCTGTGATGGTGTTTGGCCTGGTGGCATGTCGTCTGAGAAGATGTAGGCAGATTAGGAACGAAGATATCGATCGTTGTCCTCGGCCAACGGTTGCAACAGGGGACTTGCCAAAAGCAGCCGGACCGCCTTGGCCATTTCAATTGATCTATAGGGGGCAGGTGAACCCCATTCAGGATAGTCGCCGGCGACGAGGTAGGTAACTACGCCGCAGATTGTGCTTGCCCTAACATCTCAGGACATCATAACAAAATTGCAGGCACGATCAGTCACCAAAGAAGAAGGCTCGCCGGGAGATTCAATATAAGAAGTAAGGAGACTTTGTTTTTTCGTAAAAGGAAACCGGAGCTAAGTACAGACCGACCGGAAGAAACCATCCATGTCCGGTGAGAGAAATTTCCTACATCAACAGAAAACTCTTTTTGTGATACGCCAACTAATGCAGTGTAAGTCCTCGCCTCGTCATCCCATCAAACACATTCTGCTTCTCGCATCCCGCGAGGGGATTGCGGATCTTCGCAGATAGCCACAGGTCGGAGACTATCCATTGCGGCAACGGCGCATATATCGCGATTCGGCGAATCGTATCGCCGTCACACATCATTACGAGGAAAGGTCGGCGTCTGGAACGCCGAGGCCCAGCAGGGGCATGCCACCTTTTCATAGCATGCTCGCCGGGCAAAATAGGGTAGAATACAGTGAGAAGCATCCTGAATCGGCGTCTCGCCGCCAAAAAGGGGTCGTGCTAGTGAGGAAGCGACCTGTTTACTTGATCTCAAGGAGCTTAACGTCGAAGGTCAGGGTGCTCTTGGCAGGGATGCCGGGCAGGCTCTTGTTGCCGTAGGCGAGGTTGGCGGGGATGGTAAGACGACGCTCACCACCGATGGCCATGCCGATGACACCAATATCCCAGCCCTTGATGACCTGGCCCTTGCCGGCCTTGAAAGTGAAAGGCTTGCCCTTCTTGTTGGCTAGAGATTGGAGTCAGCGAGACATTCAGAAGGAACAAACATTTGAACTCAGTGCTTACCGTCGAAGACCTTGCCGTCGTCGAGCTTGCCAATGTAGCGGACGCTGACGCTGTCACCGTTCTTAACAGCGCGGCCAGTACCAGGCTTGCGGTCGTCAATGGTGACTCCCTGGACGACCTTGACGCCACCAACGGGCTTGCCAGCCTGCTTGGCCTTCTCAGCGGAGCCGGTGGGGCCCTGCTCGAGGTTCTTGGCGAACTGAACCTTCTTGTCGGACTTGGGGGTGGTCTTCTCCTCGGCGGCGACGGCCTCACCCTTGTTGTTCTTGAGCTTCTTCTTGTCCTTCTTGGAGGTCTTGGTCTCGTCGTCGGCCTTGATCAGGTCGTCGAGGCTCTCGGCAGCACGCTTCTTGCCCTTCTTGCTAGTCTCGACCAGCTTGGGGGCCTCCTCCTCGTCGGTGTCGACCTCCATGACGCGCGGGTCCTCGGTGTCGTCAAGGTCGTCGCTGTCCTCATCGGGCATGCCGTACTCGAGCTCATCGGGGGACAGGTCGTACTCGTCGTCGTCCTCATCCTCGTCGGATCCCTCCTCCTCCTCATCGTCGATAACGTAGTTACCAGTGAGGTGGACGGTGTGGGTACCAGAAACGACGAAGAAGACCTTCTCACCCTCCTGGACGGTGATGTCAAGGGGCTGCTGGTAGTTCTGCGCGGTTGTTAGCAATCAAGATTTTCCACCCAGACTCGCACGGCCTATTCGCAACTTACGCGCTCGGTGTCGAGAGTGCAGATGACAAAGTTCTCGAGGTCAAGGCCCTCGTCGTCGTCATCGCTCTCCTCGTCGTCCTCCTCATCATCGTCAGAGGCCTTGCCCTTGCCCTTCTTGCTGGACTTTCCGTTGGGCTTGGCATCGTCCATCTCCTCGTCAGACTCCTCCTCGCCGACGGCCTCGATCAGCTTCTTAAGGGCCTCAGCCTGCTTCTGCTTCTTGGACTTGGAGGGGTCGCTGGGGCCTCCGTTGGGCTCGTCATCGTCATCGGACGACTCGTCGTCGTCGCCGTTGGCATCAATGAGGGACTGAAGGTAGTCCTCATCGATCTCCTCATCCTCGCCGGCCTCAAGGTCGTCACCGAAGCGCTGCTTGACAAGGCGAAGGGTGGAGCGGGGGACAGCAGGAATGTTGCCATCGGCATCGGCCTCGGGAGCCTCAGAGGGATCAATGGCAGCCATGGTGATGCGGAACTGGGAAATGCCATGGTTAGTTAACTGTGAATGAGCGGGAGTGCGCCCGCGCCCAGCGCAAGTTACGATCTGGTCGGCGCCTGCGCCCAAGTGCCCACAGGCAAAGAGACAAGGCAGAGGGATGTACATACAGTGGCAGGGAAGTCGGGGTTGGCGGGGATGAGGATCTCGCCAGCGGGGACCTCGAGCCCGTACAGAGCGACAGGAAGCTGGGCCATTGTGCTGATTGTGAAGGTGGTATGTGAATGAGGCTGGTAAAAGCTGGTGCTCTTGCACTTGATTATTGCTCTTCAAGGAGGTCGAAAAATCAAAGACCGTTCGTTCTTGAAGGGGTTATTTGGGGGTATGGAAAGACTAGGGAGAGGAAGAAGATGGAGTGGGATTCGGGTGTGAGAGGGAGGTTGTACAGAAAAGTCGACGAGGTAGCTTTTGCCTGAAATTTTTTTCCGCTCGACGACCAGACCAGACGGAACTTTTTTCTTCTTCTTTTTTTTTCTTGGCCTCGACCCCACCGATGGCGGCGCTAGTGCTGCCTTATCCTGTCTTATCGGCCTTATCGCACCATAGCAACCAAGGCGCAACGGCAGGGAAGGTGCGTCTGGGGAAGGAGCTGCATTGGACCCTTGCCCAAAAATGCCCAAAACGACGTCTTCACCGGCGCTTTTGTGGACGGTGAGGACCCTCCACTCGTACACCGCTTTCTGCCTGGACTCGGTGCTGATGCTGTTGACGAAGTCTGTGCTGCCTTTGAGGTCCTTTGAGGTGCCTTTGTTGCGCCATCAAGGATCGCTCATCCTTACTGTAAGCCATACTCTGATGAGATCATGCTTGCAAGTTGTCTGTGTGGTATTCGACCTTCAAGTTGGGCAGATCCGAGATATCGTCATGTTACGGACATAGATGGACGATATATCTCTTGCATGACCTGTAGACAGCATACCTTCTATCATCAAGATAGGTACACACAATCTATTTTCGTACTGCAATATCACCATCCCTCTCCCAAATCTCTCACTTCTGTTATTAATCGTTCATCGTCTTCAACTACCTACCTCGACTTCACAGACCAAGCCTTGACGAGCTGCCACACGAACCCCAAAGCAAACCTCGTCTGCCCCTGCTCATACACCTGGCCCCTCTCCCCAACTTCCGCCATCTTACACGCAATCTCGACAATCGGCCCCGGAAAGAGGCGCCTCTCGCTGCTCCGAGCGTACGCCGCCACCAAATCGTTCCCGTTCGTGATGCCCCCTATGATATGTAACAATAAGTTTTAGCAAAACAGACATGAAGAGCAAAAAGAGAAGAGAAGAGAAAGCAACAATACATACCACAGCTCCAAAGATTACCATCCCGACACCATCGAAACTCATCCCCCACAAACTTTGCCCCGGGAAACTTCTTCTTCAGAACATCCTGCAGACCCCTCGGTCCGCATACCTTCCTCCCCTCCAAAATCCCCGCGGCACCGCACAAGAACGCACCCGTACAGACACTCAGCACGTCCGTCTTCTTTCTGTTTCCTTCCTCCTCCTCCTCCTCCTCCTCCTCCTCCTCCTCCTCCTCCTCCTCCTCCTCCTCCTCCTCCTCCTTCTTCTCCTCGTCAGCATGCCCCCTCAAGAACGCCAGCGTCTCTTCATTCCAGCTCGCCCCCGGATCCGGTCCGGGGACAAGCAAAATATCCAGCATGCCCGGCTGGACCTCCGGGCTGGAGACATCGTGCGTCGGCTGAATCCTGACGCCTGCCGTCATAGGGAGCAGAGGAAGGTGATCTACCTTCGGACTGGCCTTTACAGAAATGTAACAGATTTCCACGCTCGGCGCCAAGTTCGGGATATGTCTGGGTATCATGGGCAGACTCCCCAGGTACTCCTCGACATCATGAACAGGACGTCTACGCAAGCCATATCGAGGAGCTGACACTCGGACGGGATAAAGACCCCAATCTTAACCACCTTGGTACCGTTGTCTGTCATTTTTCTTCTTCTTTTCTTCTTTGAGTTTTGTCGTGAAATGCGACAAAGGTAGATTGAAGCAGTACCTGGAAGGGGGCACTGGATTAAATCAAAATGTCTTTTTTAGAAAAAAGGTCCTACAAGCTGGAGAAATCGGGGACGTGGCTGTATCGGTATCATCGTCAAGGTATCAAGCCGCATCCATTCATCTTTATACTCGAGCAAAGTGTCATATCAAACCGTCCGTCCGTCCTCTGAACGGCTGCCATCCTTTACTCCGCGGTCCGGGAGCTCCATCGGTACAGCCAAGATATTCCGTACACGACAACCAAGCAAAAAAGACAATAGGCCTCCGGTGGCTTACAACCATGGGAGCTGATTGGGTGTGATCTCTTAACTTCCGAGAGGCTTCGGGGTTCTGGTGGCTCGACCTCAGCGGTGCTGGACCGTCTGACAGATGAGAGACCATTGTAAGCTGGTTGGAACGGCTTCGTGTCTTTGTCTGCATGGATCAGATTTCTATCCACCATCATTGATTGAATCAATCTCATTGCGTATGCTGATGAGGGAGCTTTGCCTGGATGGTTTCCTCTGAGCAAGCTTCAAAATACATCATGTTCATGCCTACTTTACTCACCATGATGGAGTTCAAACCACAAGGAACTCAAACCACTGGGAAACGCCTACGAATAATGTATAATTCACATCAATTTTATCGTGGCAACGTTCTTCCTGTTAACCACGCCGTCCAATCCACGTCTTAGCGTCAATTGCCATGATCATGAATCGTTCTATGTACACACAAGATTAAATATTATAGGACTCGTCCAAATTAATGGGCTCCGGGATTCTGTCGTGTCGGCCTCCCGTCTTGCTCTTTTGGAGCCCATTGTCAGCTGTTCCTGCTGGGCTTGTCCCGTCCCCAGCGGATGCAGTCATCTTTCGTCACCATCCCGGCATCTTCCTGCCGCTGGTGGGTGAGCCTCGTCATGCTGGCCTGGATATGTCCGACCCCATCGTTTCCACTTCGTCTTCCGTATAAGCGAATGCACTTGGACGGCTCTCTCGCTCGTCAAGTTCCTGCGTATTGCTCCGAGAACTCCGGTTTGAGGCCCCATGAATACCCGAAATCTCTAGAATGCCGATACCATGCCATGCCATGCATATCAAGAATGCCCTCATCTATTTACACGTGAGGCTCTCGGGAGCCCCAACTTCTTCATACACGTAATCGAGTTAAAAACCGCCACTTGGTGGGTCCTCCTGGAATTGGGCTGTGCGTCGAATTGAAGAAAAATAATGTGAGCCATCGACGCCTCCGCGGGGAGGGCGAGGTCCTGTCGAAGAGTAGATAAAAGTTAACACAGAAGAAAATAATTGTCGTTACGCGATTTCGGCTGCCGTGAGGGATTTCGCTCTTTGCCGGGTGACCTTTTTGCTAACGGAGTAGACCAAGTCCAGCGTCCAGAAGTGGCAAAGCTGCGCCTGAGCGCAAGGAATGGCACCGTAGAGAGGAGCGACGAGCGGAACCATTGCGTAGTCAATGAAGTTCTTCTTGACGTTGCGGTAAGAGAAGTTCATGCCCTCAGATAGACCAGCCTCGGTCATCTCACGTTGGCGGGACTTGACGCAGATGCGGTGGAAGCTCTCATACAGGAAGAGGTAGAGCGCAATTTCCATGAAACCAAAAGTGCGCAGGATATTGCAGACGTCGAAGATCCAGCTGAGGTGAGCCACTTCCTTGTTACCCTCCGTGACCCACACGTACAGAGTGGAGGAAATAACGAAGATGGTCATCTGAAGAGGAAGGAAATGCGCCTCAAAGAGACGGTGGAACAGGTAGACGATGCGTTCCCAGTTAGGAGACTGCAGTGTGTCGTGGGTGACGTCGGAGAAAACACCGCTTTCTCTGGGCTGTTCGGGATCCTGTTGGTCGAGCTGCGTCTCAGGGACGTACACGTCGGAGGCGTCGCCCATGGAGTTGTGAAGCGGACGGAAAGCGCGAGAAGTGTGCTTCCTTTCCTGCCAGAGTTCGACGACCTTTCGGAGCGCATATCCGGAGTCGAGAGCACCCCACATGTGTCTCATGGCCTGCTTGTAACGAGCCTGCATGTCCGAGTAAATACCGCGGAGACCCTTAGAGCCATCGCCACAGACGTTGCTCTGGCTGACGGGGCTGACGACGGTTCTGACGGTCAAGTTGCCGTTGAGCGCGAAGAAGCACTTGAGGTACATGTGCAAATCTTCTCCGATAGCCTCGTTGTCGCAGTCCCAGCCGCCGACGCGGTCAACAAGTTCCAAGGGCACGGAGTAGACGGAGGTGGGAGGCGCAATCGTAGATCCGGAGTAGAGTCCAGACATGCCACCAGCACCCCAAAGGATGTCGGCAACACGGACAATGGCGGGAACACTGTGGGCGTTGCGGTCGAAGATGATTGGAGCCGCGTACATGGTGGTCTTTGCTGTTTCGGGATAGGCCAGGTGCATGGTAGTCAGCAAGGCGAAGAAGTTGGATGAGAGGTGGCTGTCGGCTGTACACCCCACGTTTCTGTCAGCGAATCATCCTACATGCGCAAAAATTGGAAACATTGACTGCGGCAGATTCTCAGAATCTGACATGCGCACGTACCGTCGAGACCAGTAATGATCACATCCTTGCGGGTGGTCATTGAATATTTTTGGCTCAATTTGCGGGCAGCCCATGCCACGTTGCTTCCCTTGCCAGCGGATTCACCTGGGATGTCGGACGGATGAATAGTGTAATCGATGCTGCGGAACTTCTTGACAAACTCCTGAATGAGGGTCATGGCCTTCAGTTCGACGTTGGGCTCGCGTTGTTCCATTCCCAAGTAGACCTAGGATGCAAGTGTCAGTTTCTGAACACGGATCAATTGAGAATGAAAGCAGTCGCCATAGCAGTGGTGAATGACCACCATTTACAGGATAACTGTGTGGCTGAAGGGGTGTCGTAAGGTACTCACATCGTAGCAGCTGCGGGCTTGAGGGTGCGAAGCCAGCACCTCCAGAGTCTCCTTCAGAGTGTCCATCTCCTCCTTGTAGTTGGGAACGATGATAGCGTGGATGACGCGGTCGGGTTCAGCATCACCGTCGGTGTAGAGTTCGGGCTCCATGTCGCCAGCCTCGCTGCTGGACGCAGAACCACCGTGGGAGGACGTGAGGGTCTCTGAACTAGACAAGGAGGTCGAGGAACCACGGCGACGGTGGGAGAGCCTGTAATCTCTCAGGGTCCTGTTGCGAGCGATCTTCTTCAGCTGGCGGGTCATGTCAAAGACAGCCCAGCAGCATCGGAGAGGGAAAGCGAAGACGAGGATATGGATAAACAAGCAGTAGTAGGCGTAGATTTCGGTCCAAATGCCAGCGCCCTTGGCAGTCGAAGTCGAAGAGCTAAGGCTATCCTCGTGCAAATAGTTGTGTGCAGAAGCAGCTGATTCCTTTGAGATAACCCAGTAACTCAGACCCAACAAGCCGAGCATGGCCAAGCCGCCGACGCGGCGCGAGGCCCAGGCCAAGATCGATGACATGGTGACGACCGAGGATAATGCTTCGGTGAGGCGCGTTGCCAGCGATGGAAAGGTCGACGATAAGGCGACAGCTGCGAAAGGTCGACGACGGAAGGCGAGGTTTTCTGTCTGTCGAGGCAAGCAGCCGATAAGAGGCTTGGAGAAATGTGCGAAGCCTGACTGGGGGTGGAAGTTTGCTCGAGGGAGAGCGAGACCAATGATTGCAGACAGCAAGTGGGAGAGGGAGAGAGGAATGAAGAGGGAAGTAGGGCGGAGGAGAAGAATCAGATCTCTGGGCCGAGATTGCGTATGGCACGCGTAGAATTGGAGCCCTACCGGTCGAGGTCAATAGTGGTCTCTCGCGCTCTCTCACTCTGTCTCTTGAAGAGCGTTGAGTGTGGGTGAGGAGGAAAGCAGGTGACAGATAGGAGGAAGGGGGGGGAGGGGGAAAGAGAAGGAGTGAAAAAGGGAGAGACTGGGAAGAATTAGAGTGCGTCTTGTCGGATGATATTCACGAGGAGGATAGCGACTAATGGATACGGGGACAGACTGAGGAAGAGAGAAGGAGGGAAGAAGTGCAAGGTAGTGAGAGTGGATGATTTCTTGGATAGGGACCTGGGCATGGAGGAAGAGGAGCAGGAGCCAGGAGGTGAGTAGGCAGGTGGACACGGGTACAGTAAGGTCGGGTCGGGTCTGCTAAGCTACGGTAAGGTGCGGTACCTTAAGGTCCAGTCCAGCCCACTTCAGTGTCGTGCGGGTGGTACACTACAGACAGGTAATATTGTAAGGCAGGCCGGGTATGCAATGAGGTAGACGAGGGGGGGCGGCAGAGAAAGGGGGCGCGCTGGTTTCTCTGAGGTGAGGTGCGGCGCGCCTTGCTCTGGACTGGACTCTGTATCCATACGGAGTATTCGTACCAGCCCTCTTTCCCTTTCACACGCGCACCTCAGAGCTTGTTTGTGTTGGACCAGACCAGACTGGTTCCAGATGGGACGTGGGGAGGAAAAAGGGTCACTTGTACAGAGTACTTGTGTCGGCCCAGCGCCACAGCCTGACTTAAGTGTGGAGGACCCGCTCCCCGATGTACGGATACCAATATTATCTCTACCGCCAAACTTTGTCTTTTTTATTTTCATTCTCACCAAAACAACCAACGGCACCCAAGTATGAAGATGGCTCCAACAGGGTGACGCTGAAGCTCTGTTGCACCGACAACTGTCTACACTACCTGCTGAGGTATCCTATGTCAGGTAGGTATAAAGGAGGTGCTCGCCGCCTGCAAGATGAGGTGGGAAGACGAGCAGTTTGCAAAATCGTCGAACTGGGGCCTTGGACTTGACAATGGGGGTGGTGGAAGCCTCTGGATTGGCGAGACGACGAGCTGGGGGTCTCCTAGCACCGGTGATGGCAGCCGTAACAGACCGGGGGGGTTACTACCTTAGGGCACCTTGATCCGGAGAACTGCAGCAGATTGAGGTGGTGAAGAGGCGAGGCAGGTCGCAGAGAGCAATGAAAGAAAAAAGAGAGAAGCAAGAAACAGAGCAAGGGTCGAGATGGTTCCAGTGTGCCAGAAGCCAGACTAGACCAGTTTTGGACTGATTTTTGGATCATGATTGGCTCATCAGAAAGAAGGATCGCCTCTGATTGGCCTGGGCGGCAAGGGCCTGGGGTATGCCGTGCTGAGGCTAGTGCATCTCGCCCGCTCGCATCGCATCTAATGGGCTGCCTCTGCGCCTGCCTCACTCCCATCCTCTGCCTCGATAATTGCTTTAGCGCGAAAAGGGACGTGGGCCCATGAGAGCTCGCAGGGGTGGCACGGATACACGGACAAGGTCTGGTTGCCTTGGGAATTTTCTGCGCTTGTACTGAATCGCCCCGCGGGAAATGAGAAGTAAGAAATTACCGAGTAAGCGGTCAATCGCGAGCACTGTGTACGGCCGGGATGTAGAGTTGAGTCTGTCTGCTTTTCTTTCCCCCTTCTTTTCCTTCCTTCGTGTTGATGATGACCAATCGACGTCGAACTACGGATTTAGCCAACGGAGTAGCGTTCGTTGGTTTCGCTTCGTGATAGATTCTCTTGCCCAGTGCCGATAGCGATAACGATCATAAGGAAAGCACTGCCATGCCATGCCATTTGCTTGTCACGTTATAGTAGTTTAGGCCAAGAAAGTCTCATATTCTGCGAGGCTTGGCCAAGATTCCGAGTATGAGCGGAGCCAATATTCGTCAACACCTCATTCTAGAGTCTAGTGCAGGCAGTCGAACTGCAGAGCGTGGGAACCCCTTCAGATAGATTGACTGGGCAGGGCAGCTTGTTGTGATGGTGAAAGTGTATTCATGTGTGACACTGCGTCATGATCGAGTGCGAGCCGGCAATACTAGACAGGAGCTTGTCGGGCACTGCACAGCCGCACTTGGCGGGTGGCTTCACTGAAGCTCAATTCGAACCTTCTTTATCCTGTGTCGTCTCTTGGTTCTAGATATTTGATGCTTCAGTCTGGTTGATACATTCCTATGTCCAGCCTTGATGTCAAGACTCTCTCGCCTCTCAGATGGACGAAGTTGATAAGGATGAGGTGATAAGAAGCACCTCACTGCGAGTCTCTACCTTAAGGCACTCTTTAGATCATTTCTACTACGGTATCAGGCCAAAGTTTAACCCCCTTGTCAGGTATCTTTGCCCGTGCTTTTCGAGATTACATCAGCAGCATTACTTTCGAGATTCTTGTGCACGTCGAACACAAATTTGGCCATTGAGAGTCACTGCTCTACCCTGGCCAGACCCACGCTACCTGGTAGGGAGTTTAAACTTACCCCTATGGACCAAGTAGTATTACATAGCAACGAGTGTTTAGAGAGAAAAACCTAGAGCAAACAGTCGCACTTTTCACAATGACTGGGACGTAATTTCACAATATCTCCGCACAGTATGCGCTTCTCATGGAGCGATGCCAAGTTCATAGGTCAAAGACTGCCTGCTGCCTGTGCCTTTATCCACGCTAGGGACGCTAGAGACGCTAAGATGCCGTGGGGTCGCTCCTCCCGCTCTGACGGGCTGGCTCGCCCAAACGGGATATTTGGAAAGTACCTCCCCACTAACAATTTTCAAGTGCTCGATCCGGGGGCGTCACAGTGCAGTGAAAGGTCCACCTTGTGCTGCTTTTTTACCGCCAGCTCTCCACCTCACCGAGCAAGCGTGCGGCAGGCAGGGGACCCGTGGGCCTGTGATAGGTACGTACTCCATACAGCCAACAATACTGCGTATGGATACCTACCTTACCTTACTCTGTACGGGTACAAAGAGCAAGACAACTCGACACCCGATGCTGGATCCCGCGGACATAGTACGGCGCTCCCGCGATGACAGAGCTGGAGGCAGGGCACCACGGCACGCAGGCGGCAGGAGTAATAACTCATCAACAATGGGGACTGGAGCCGGACCCGGACCTCCTGAATCCCCATTCCATTCAAGCCCTGCAAAAACATACAAACAAAGGAGGTCCAGAGCTCAACAGCCCATAATTGTTTCTGGATTCTCATTGATGACAGTCTCAGTGGTGGCTCTGGTGGATGCTCAGGATGGAAAAGGCGTAGAATCCGGCCGGGAATAGTCGACAATGCGATCAACAACCAAGTACTCCGTATTATGTACGAATACTCTGGCTTCTATGGACTCGTGGAGGAGGATTCCTTTTGTGCCAGGTTGTGAAGCTTAGCCATCATTAGTGGAAAGCCGCTCAGGGGGCGGTGTACGGAGTACGGATACAGATTATTGTGTAGTAAGCAGTCGAAGCTTAACCACACAACCGAACGTGGGGCTTTCCTTACCTTATTGTTCGGGCTGGTACGGAGTACTTCCAAGGTAAGTTCTTATGCATCCTTCCTTCTTTCCAGTCGTAAGGCGCCTGCTTAGTCGATAAGGTGTCATAAGGTACCTAGAGGCTAAGGCACCTTACCTTACCTCAAGCAGGCCCAGTCTGAATGATAATACCTACCTGACGGGAGGCAGGTGATCAATGAGGCAGCTTGCGCTGGCTGCCCTCCGTGACGATTACACCTCGGCTGCTTCGACTTCATCAATTTCCTCTCTAGTGACGTGCCTTAATCTTTGTCCTAGCCCACCTTGTCAAACCAACAAGTCGACTTCTTCCGAGGATTGTTCCCGTCAATTTGCTGCCACCAGCTAGGTCCTACGTGTGCGACGCCACTGCTGTATTTGTACCCATGGCATCAAGTTCTTGTCAGCTGCCAGCTCAGAAAAGTACACAATGACGATTAAGCCACGACTAGGTATCCTCTCGAGCAGTAAGGTTTACATCATAAGCTCAAGACCACGATGATACGACGCAAGCTACCCGAGAGCTCAAGACAGTCGATAATATCATCAAACACCCAAAGCTCGACACCACTAGTCCATTCTTGATTCAACCAACAACCACGCCTATCGCTCCTACGATTCGACCGTGCGTTGATCATCCGGCTCAGGAAACATGTCGAGCATTCTTGGAAGCAGTCAACACTGCGACTATCCACATTTGCCAGGCCGGCGAGGATGAGCAGCCATGCGCCATTGATGCCGCCTTTTGTGCCACAGTGCCACGGGACAAAGACGGTATCCAGGGTCGCCGCCGCCGCCGCCGCTGGACCTATGCTATGCTTGCGTGCGAGGACGAATCGAAACACGGCGGGCGGATGCTGCTGGCGGTACCACGCTATCGCAGTCTCACAGACGATGCTTCAGGTCTGGTAGATTTACCTACCACTGCGGCGCTGCAGGACGCTTCTAGCTGCCGGGACCACATGCAAAGTGGTACGTAGGCACGCCAAGCGGAGCAAATCGTGGCTCAGTCTGAGAGCGCGCACACCTTTTTACACGTCGCGAGCCCGTCTAATGAGCTGCAGTCTCGCAGTCCCGTAGTGGCCATTGGTTCGTTCGAGGGTGCTTCCCCAACCCCAGCTCTCACAAGCGGCGCTGCAACTTGAGCTGTCGACAGGCGGCGGGTCGAAGGAGGGGGGACTTCCAGCGTGCAGCCACAGCTGCCGTCGTCATCCATCACGGCTATGCTGCGGCATCGTCGTCATAGGGCGAGGAGATGCGACCCTAAAGAAACGAGGTCATGGGTAGCTAGACGACGAACGACAGCGATTACCAGCGAAACGCGCCTACGCAGGCGAAATTGGCCACGGCATGGGCAACGGGACCGCAAGGCAACATGCCTGCCAAATGTCATCTCATGGCATGCATTTTTCGACCAGACTTGTCGCACGCTTTTCGCCTTCCAGGGTTCGCATCGATGATTACACTCTGATGGACTAGCCTGCGGTCGAGGCCCCGCGGACGATGTTCTTAGTCGTCCCACCATCGCCAAACTCACACTTGGTGTCATCCTGCGCTGAATCTGACGCTGTCCAGTCGGTCCAATCCAGTTACAGTGCGGCCCTCCTGCTCACTCACAGTCGGACTGGAGAGCCGACATAGGATCTCGTGGCGTGCTGGGATACCGTTGCTGCGAAATGATGGGACGCTGAGACATGGCCGTTCTCCAATTTTTCTCTTCACCTAGCTTCTACGGCTCCTCTTGCTCTCTGCCTGACCCCTTTGCAGAGTCGCAATGGCCAAGGAGATCAAAAGTTTTCAAGTCCAAATCAGCAGACGAGAATCAGGCCCAGGTGCTCTGGCCAGGTCTCTACCAGGGCCCCAGAGTTGCAAAACTGCAAACGGACCTGTCAAGATTCAGCAGTGACGGGTCACGGCAGCCGGGGCGGGAAATTTCGACCTGCATCCCGTTGACTTGGATGCCCTGGTCACACTGTCCGATATCGACATGTGCCCGACAAGTACATATCGCCAACAATCCATCTTACCAGTCTCAATCACGCTCAGACACCGGGCGGTTAGCCTTGGTCAATGCAAGTTCGGCGTGGCCTCGCGAGCCGCATCAACATCATCAAATCAACGCCGTTAGCTTCTAGTGCATTTCATCAACCCCGTGCTCACCGCATCCAAGCCATCTTGATATGCTCGTGCTATCAATGGTATCTATTCATGGCCTGGCTGATCTAGCGCTTTCTATAAACGGTTGATACGAAATGGCAGTGCAATGGTGAAGAGACTTGAGGTCAGACGAGCAACATGCATATAGCAGGTAGGGCATGCCACAGACAAGTCTTCGCATACTTTGTTCATACAGAACACGAGAATACCAAATTCGACAGAGGGTTCACCTTTGGACGGGGGTGGCGTCGAATGGGCTGCCATCCTTGTACGGATAGCTGACGGTGCTTATTCCTCCCGAACAGATGCAGGCCGCGATATGTCTGACAGAAAGGATACCGCTGGCTCTTCGTCCGCTTCAGGCTGTTTCTTGTATTGTTCGCTCGCAGAGTTGCCCCAGACGCACTCCGCAATTACTCAATCACAAGCGAGAACTTGCTTCTTCCGTAACGAACAACGCGAGCATGCTCGTCCGAGGATTATCGGATATGAGCTTTTGGTAAGAATACGATAAGCAAGACCATGCCCATCGATTGCTTCGTAATTCACGCATATGCCGGGCGCAATTGCTCCTTCAACTTTACTCCGATCTTGGCAGAATCGTTCCACTCGCGGCATCTATTGTGTAGAGACCCGACCACCTAATCCGCGAACCTCCACCATAGGATTCAGCAATGAGCATTGGAGCAGCAAAGCGAGCCCATCCATACCGATGCGGATGCTAGCTATGATGATGAAAAGTCAGCAACCAGGAGAAGACCGAGGAAGACGTATTGCAAGGAGGACCTATAGGGGGGTTGCCGGATGGTGGGGTGGGCGAACACTTGGCGGGCCGGCGTTTGAGATTGAACGTTTCTGATGCTCCGAATCTGACTGGCCGACTGGACCAGCAAATTGCAAGGCAAGACATGGAGTTCCAGGTCTCCTGCCCAGCCAGCCGGCCGCGTTAAGAGGAAAATGGTCCGGCTACGGCCACCAGCATGGTTCTGTGCCCTGTGCTCGGGCTTTCCTGGGGGAATCGGAGCGCCTCCTCGAACACCATCAACCTCGATGCTCACCGTTGAACCCCATCAACGCCGGTCGCACCCTAGCTTGTTGCCAACGCGGAACCTGCGTCGACCCGCACTCGCGGATCGCCATAACGGTGGTATGCCGCATAACCACCAGATGCAGATATCAACGGCGAGATTATCGGAAAAGAGGAGGTTTTGGAGAAACGGAGACAACCAAGGGAACGGAGTTACGAACCACACATTGTGTCCACCAATCCACGATTCGACTCTGGCGCCGTTCAACGGTTACTTGGCAGGCCTTGGCTTAGTCCGTCACCCAGGCCATGAATCCATCCATACGCAGAAGGGATTTGAAATTAAGGTTGAGAACATTCACCGTGGCACAAGAGCGCCCGTCTCCCAGCTTAAGTCGAGACATCGATGCGTGTCTGGTACGGCTGAAGCATCTGATGTCTTGATGATGAGCTAGAACTCAGCGTGCGATGGCTCCCGCAAGCCTCAGACCGAATTGGTGCAATTATTGCTCCTCTCGGAAACCTACGTCTGCAGAGTACCTAACCCACGCATAGCGGACAGTTTACCCTTGAGACAACAAATCCATGGACCAATGTGGCACTCAGACTCGTCCGGTCACAAGTGGCATGTCTCAACATGTTGCGATTCAGAAGTTCGCCCCATCATGTCCGTCTGCGTACGCATCTGCCCGTTTACCACCGGGGCCGTCTTGTCGACCGACGGGGTCCTGTTCTGCTCCAATGCGGGAAACAACTTTGAAACAAGCCCTGCGAGACAGTCGAGATGGGCATACTTTTGCTTGCACAGCATAGGATGAAGCTTGCAGTACAGCGTGCGTGGCCTCGAGCAAGCAAGAACGGGTGATGGGGTGTTAGGGGACCATTATGCCGGACTTGATTCCTGCAGCGACTTACCATTTATGTTCCTTGAGGCTTCTCGAAGCATATGGACGCGAATGACAGAGGTGATGCAATATGCGATCCGCGCTGTCAGGGAATTATCGACGACCAAGACTTCACGGCATACTTGCATCCTCCCTTTGCCAACAGAACCTGTTTCTGGAAGATTGTGCCCGTCACCTATGAAACGGCTTGCCCCAGATGTCGAAAGCCAAAAGCAACCAAAAAAAAAAAAAAAAAACTCCCCGCCCAACGTCTTCCATCCCCGTTGACTCCGACAGCCGGACGGATCAGCCAACCAGTCACCTTGCGGGACTGACATGTCGCATCATCGGATCCGGGGTGAGACCTTCGGCTGCCCTGTGCATTGCTTCCCCCAGCCAACGCGTCACTTGTGCTTCGGCCGGGCGGGCTTCGCTGGGCGTCCGGGCTTATGCCGAATCGGAATTTCCTTGGCAGCCGGCGCGGGTGACGACAGTGTCCCGTTCAACAGCCGTCCCCTCGAAGTTCCCCGCGCCGACCCACCCCCAGAGCATTGGACACGTCCCGACGTCAAACACGGCTCACTCGTCTTTGAACAAAATATGTTTCGACCTGTATAATATTGATTATTGAGCTGACGATGCCAATCGTCTGCGATGACGTTGTGGTTCTCGGTGGGCTATGAAGGTGCGAGGCGAGCCTTTTTCTCGGCCTTGTGGTCTTCTGTTGACCCCGTCTGTGATGTTCCACCCTTTTTGCAATCCCATCGGCAGCTCTTTGGAGGCGCAGCGCGCTATTACACTGCGCTGTCAGCAACAGAGCCACCCCAGGCCCAACTTTGACATTTCCAACGGTGCCCACGGGTGCGTGTCACCGCAATATACCTTTGAACTTAGATGCCGTTCTTCCGTAGCCCCACCCTCGTAGGCATGCTCGCGGCTTTGGAGAAAAGTCCTCATCCGTAGACTCCGGATGCAGCCTTGAGAAGGATCTTAGGACATGGCGACGCCTAGTGGAATTATTCCCCCCTAGATTCTCCTGTTCAGGATCTTTGTTGGCCATCTTATTTTTGCGGCATACCCAGCCGATGTGCCGAACCACGAAGCTGGGTCAGAGCCTCTCGCAGAGCAGTGAGACCCTCGATCTGTTGATACCGAAGCACATTCTGCAAAGACATTCCGTGCAGCAGCCGAAAGATCGAGCTCGTCAAACGGGGCAGTATGTTCTATTTGCCGCTTTCATACAACCTTTTCGAATAGCTCCTGGATGGGTTTCGCAGCCTACACCGGTGGATGTTAGAAGTTGATGCGCAGGACAAGTTTTGCGCAAAATAGAAAAAAACGCGTTCTTAGAACTCACGTCGATAAACTTCTCCAAGTCTTTGTCCAAGTTGGCCAGGTCGTCCTTGCGCTTCTTGTTCTCGGCAATGAGCTTCTGCTTCCTTCCCACTAACTCGAGCCTCTGCTGCTCGAGGGCTTCTCGTCCCGCGCGCTCGTGGCCGATGCGCGCAATCATCATGGCGTCCTCGTCGGCTTCGGTGTGTTCTGGTTGCTCGGCGAGGAATTCTTCGACGGGGATGAGAGGTAGCTTCTGGTAGGTATGGCTGGAGATCACACAAGGGGTTAGTTGTACATGAACACCTGCCGGCCGCTGCAAAGGAAGAGAAGAGAAAAAGCCGTCCCCCACTTACTCATAAGATTCGCAGGCCTCAATCTCGCCCTCGAGATGGCGCTGCTCGTAGTACAGGTTCTGCAGCTGGAGGTGCAGGCGGTCGACCTCATGGCGCGCCTCGGCGGTCTGGGCTTTTGTGTCCCTTGCGTTGAAGTTGGCGGAGCGGTGCAGGCCGCGGAGGTGCGAGATGTTTGTGAGGAGGAGTTTTTGTTCTTTTGACAGGGCGGCTTGGAGATCTGGTGAAGAAGCTGAGCCTGACTCTTCGGCCGCCGCGCGGGTGATTTCGGTGAGGAGGTGGAGGAGCTTGGCGGCTTGGTCTTGGGCGTAGCCTGAGGTCTGGAGGACCGCGCCGAGTTTCTTATCTGATACGAGCTCGTTCACTACCATTGTTGCGGTTCTTGCGCTTTGTTCGTGGGGGAATGTGGCCGAAGTTGACGGTGAGGGGTGGCAGAGTATGGTGACAATCGTGTCGGTCTCGACCGAAGTTCGTCAATGGACTCGCTGATGCCGATTTGTTTGGTCGGCGTTGTCTGAAGAGAGGCTTCGTGAAAGCTTCGGGATGAAGTTGGGATCGCGTCTCTCTTGTCTCGGACGCGCGCAAGGCTGAAGGAAGGCGAGTGGTGTAGTCCCGCGATCTGACGAATGGGGTGGATGGTGCGGTATGGCACTTTTTGCGCAAACAGGCGGGACGGACGGTGGAAGGGCTGGGTGCGACAGCCTTGCGGTTCACTTGCAAAGGTACCCGTAATTGAGGGTGCGCCTTCAAAAGTCGGGAGCGTGGACCGTGGCGTCGTGAATGGATCTAGTCTGCTTCCGATACTTTTGCCAATATTCCCATACGGTATATAGCCTAGGTACCGAAGTAGGTAAGGTAAAGTACCTAGCTCACCACCGTACCGTGGCGGACGTTGGAAAATCAGTGCAGCCGCGCCGCTGGGACCGTGCTTTCGGCAGCAACTCCCAGCTCCCGTGCTGCCGTCCCGCCACTTCCAAGTTCACGATTACCTGCATGGGAACCCAAT